ATACCTGCATAATACTTGTAAAATAATTTAATTTAAACTAAAGTATGAGAAATATTTGGTGTATATCAAGCCAGAAATATCACATATTTGTGTGTCATCAGCAAACTATATAAAAATTTATAAGAGAATGATAGAGAAAAATATATATCGGTATTCATATAGTTTATGTGTGTCGTCCTCGCTTGCACATAGTATAATCTTCAATGTTGGATCATTGAAAATTTGTTGGTTTTCCACTATTTTAAAATTTAATACACAATGTTTTTATACAACAAATAATCATAGATAATACTGAAAACTTAATGTCAAATGCTTAAGCAACACATATCTTAACCTTTATTTTCCTTTTGCTGAACGCCAAATCTTCAAAATCTGTACTCGATCTTGAGTCAAACACCTTTCTATAACCAAAGAACTCCAAGATTTCGGCCACAATGATGTTCACTCGATCCTATCAAAATTTTCCTTTGGAGAAAAATTACTCTTTTTCTTCACTAGAAGTCAGTCTCCAAAGTCGATAATCAAATTTTGGTTTTTTAATATGAGAATACACAATAAGCTTCATAAAAAAAAGAATCCCTAATGTAGCTTTCAACTACCACTCACACTCAATCTCAGAGTTGAGTAACCGCGACAATGAAGTTTTTCGATAAAGATTGAAGATGATTGGTTTTTAGCAAAACTCACGAAATCAACACTTAAGAAATTTTTCTTTAAGTTTGAATTGAGAGAGAAAGTTTTTGTGAATGAAAGAACACTCTTGTATTTTTCAAGAATTATGAAAATATGATTTATTCTTTTATGGAGAGAAAAGAAAAAAATGATGTATATATGTACTAGAGATAAGACACAAAATAAGTGAAAAATTAACAAGATGATTTGAGTCAGATCCTACAATTATGATTTAAATCAAATGAAAGAGTGACTTAAAACAAGATGATAAATATGAGTTTGACATGTTTGATTTAAATCATGTGATTCGAGTCAACCAATCACCTGATTTGAATCACACAACCAAAGATGAATTAAAAAAAATATAGTTCATTCATGGTTCAAATCAACCATAACTATGATTCGAGTCAAGGTGCTTTTGATTAGATTTAGGCAAAACCTTGATTCAAATCAAGATTATACTGCCAATTTCCAAATTAACACTTTTACTCTTGATTTGAATTAGTCAAGGTTTTGATTCGAATTAAGCTTAACAAATATCTTATTTTAAGACGTCTACCTTGTTATTTAAGTCATACATAGTTGACTTTTGATCATGTTGCTCAATTTTAAAAATAATTGCATGATTTCAACCTAAGTGAAAGTCACAGATGGTTCAGAGGTACATCACTATGATAAAAGGTAAATTGTAATTACCATAAAGGGATAAAATCAAAATTACAATTAAACAATAAATCAAAAACTTATAAAATGTGAGAGAATGTTAAAATACAAATGGAATCACACTGTTATTGACAAAGTAATTTAAATAATTGATCAGATTATAAGACACATTAAACTCAAGAACAAACATAAATATGAATATATAATCAAATTATATATAATCAAACAATAATGAGTGATACATAAAAGTGTGATACATTATATCTAATCTCAACAACAGAGAGTTTAGTTGCATATTGTCATGATAGTGATGTAGAAGAAATAAATGAAGTGAAACATCAAAGGATATTTTAAACAGAAGTTGATATCCACGCCATGACTACCTCAAACTTTCTCTCTAACAAAGTAACATTAAGGTAAAATGATACAGGGTTGAGATATCTCAAATGAAAATAAATATGACATATTTATAATTGTCACTTATGACCTTAATCCACTAATCGAAGGATGAATTGACTTGTTGATTGACTTTCTTTAGCACGAAGAAAACTATTTCCCACCTTGAGTATGTTAATCGAAGGTTTGTTCAATTATCGAATTATCTTTTTCTTAGTTCTCGTTCATCATTTTTATCACATTCAAATAACATTAATGAATGATCAATTCATAAATGTGAAATAATATCACATTTTTTGCATAAATTAGAGACTTAAATGGTTACTTCGCGATCAAATAATTGAATAAATATGTGAAATCAATAATGTTAAAAATTTATTAGTGTTTTTGAATAATTGAACAAATAATTTATATAAATTACATATAGATCATATTCGATTCATATTAACAACTATCCACAATTCGTGTGAAAAAACAATAAAAAATAAATTCTAAAATTTTAATAAAACCAATATACACTTTCCAAAATAATTTGTTAAAATTTAACTCTTAATCTGTGCCTTAATAACACAAGATAGCACTGTCCTTAAAATATTTTATAGTTTGTGTAATTTAAAGGAAAACAATTATTTCATCCCTTCCAAAATCTCTATCTCAAGCATACTTAAAATATTGTCTAAGAACAATCACAATTAAATATTTTCAATTACTATTAACCACGAAAAAAATCATTTATAACTTATTAACATGGTTTATATTATCTTAAAATTTCTCATTGCGAAAGTGACATTTCTTTAGTTTATGGAAAATAATGTAATCAAAGACCTATAAAACAAAACAGCTTTTAATTAAATTACAAATTTGAAATTTGACTACCGTTTTTTTATTTTGAAAAAAAAGTGTAAGTTTAGACAAAGAAAACCGTTGAACATCAACTAAAATAGTGCTTCTAAAAAAAATACAACTAAAACAATTAGTAAGAAACACAGCTGAAATTATTAAGAAAAATTTCAATATCTAATGATATTGAAATTTAGTATATTTAGTAAAAAAAGTAAATGCTATAAATTTGTAGTTATCCATGGTAAGTAGTGTTAATAGTAAAAAAAAATTGTCTTCCATAAAACTTTTTTTGTCTTCCATAAAAAAATCAAGAAATGATTGTTAATAATCAAAAGAAAATCGAGAAATAGTTTTTCTTTTGGTATAAAAACCAAGAAATAACTATTGGGTCAAAAAAATAAAAGAAAAAGTTATATCATTATATTCCAATTATAGTATAAGTTACTTAATTTTTTATCTGCAAATCATATATATTTCTATGTTATTTAAATTTTTAATTTTATATTTTATATAAGAGATTAATTATTATATATAAAATACTATTTTATATAATCTATATATTACAATCATTCATAAATAATATTTTATATATAATTAAAATAAAAATTAATAATTTATAAAAATATAACGATTATAATTAACTATCGAAAAATGCATGAGTATTATTTTTTATATTATATAATATGAATTTATTATATACACGTCTACTTTATTAAAGTTTGTGTATATAAAAAAATTAAAATTTACTTTTACTAAAAATGTGTTTACATATAATTCAGTGGCCAATAGTTTACACATTGTGCACGCCAATTATTTGATTGTACCAAAAAGATATTTTTTGAAAAAAGGAAATATTGATTTAAAATGAAATTTAAAAAAGGAAGAAAAAGATTAAAAAATAAGGATAGGTTAGTGATTTAAATTAATATTTTATTAAAAAAAGAATATTTAAATACAATTTTATATATATGGTTTATAATTTTCTTCAATAAGAATATAACAAATATATATATTTAAATATTTAAAAAAAAAATTACATATATGTAAGAATAAATTATATATTTATCACATTTTCATTTTGAAAAAAAATATAAAAAAAACATAAGAAAATGCATTAAGTTTTTTCCTTATCAAAATTCAAAAATAACGATGGACAGGTTAAAACCTTAAGTTAACGTTGTTGGTCCTTAATTAATCCAAATAAATCAGTTTAAACATAATCATGGCATTGAATTACATAATCTCATTAGGATACAGTATTAATACTGAGTTAAACTATCCAAATTCAAATTTATTATTCTTAATGTGAAAAAAATCTCTTTTATTTTTTATTTTTTTACAGTTAACGAGTCATCAGTGTTGTCAGAACATAATTCCAAAGAAGCCACTATTGATAGAGAGAGAGAGAGAGAAAAAATGCCACTTTTTGCGACCTATTGAAAGAGAGAGAAAATGGGGTAAAGAAAGTGTTCTATTCTATTACATTTACAGCTGCTACTGAAGCTAACATTGCTAGATTTCATTGTTTTTGGGTGTGAATGGTGGGATAGAGATCAAAGTTTGGTGCTTTTTGTGATTCTATTCATACCCATTTGATTATTTTTGGTGTTTTTGGATCTTCAGTTTGGATGTTGTTGTTGATCAGTGTTGGTTTTTACTAGGTGAGTTTTGGATCTCGTTTTATGTTTCATTTTGCATTTGTTTGAAGTTTGTACTTTTACTGAGGTTTTCCAATGTTTGTGTTTTTCTCGTAGTTGATATTATGAACACTGTCTTTTGTTTTCATGTCATGTCACTGTTTCTTGCTTTTCTTTGTTGTAATGTAACCTTTTTTGAGATTTCTTGTTTCTTTTTCTCTTCACCCTCTTGATGTCATTGTTTACCAGAAACATTTTTGTTTTGTTTTGTTTTATATGAAAAAGGAAAAAAATAATTGAATAATAGTTTTTGTACAGTTGATTCTACCAATGCTGGTAGGTTTTTTTGGGTCATTTGTTGTTTGTGATTTTTGCTGTTCTTGTTCAGGATCTCTTGGTTTCTGCTAAAAAGGTAGTTGTTTTAATGTCTGTTGTTTCTTCTTTTTGTTCTTATTTTGTCTTTTGGTTTTTTTTACAGTTATCTTGATTTTGAACTGCTGGAGTTGTAGGAACATACAATTATATTCGTAAGGTGGAGATATTAGAGCTTTGTTTGATTGAGCAGGTAATGCGGCATCCATGTTTTTTAGTAGATTAAAGTTATACCATGAAAGTAAAAGTTGAATTTCATGAATCTGAGTCTAATCTTATTAAATATACCAACTTTTCTTATCAGATAGATCTTGGTGGTGGAAATTTATATACGGATAGTTGGGACTGGATTCATTGTCAGATCTTTGCCGTTTTGCGAAATCCAAACCAGCTTTGGTGTTGTTATTTGCTGGAGCTATGGCGGCTTTGTTGCATTCTGACTCGAGGCGGTTATATTCGTGGTGGTGGGATAGTCATATTAGCCCGAAGAATTCAAAATGGCTTCAGGAAAATCTTACGGGTATATGTTTTTAAGCTAAATTTAATCCAAATAAAATCATTTGTTTTTGTGAAATTATATGGTTTTATGTGTTTTCGACAGACATGGATGCGAAAGTCAAAGCAATGATCAAGCTTATTGAAGAGGACGCGGACTCGTTTGCAAGAAGGGCGGAGATGTACTATAAGAAGCGGCCGGAACTCATGAAATTAGTTGAGGAGTTCTACCGAGCATACCGTGCATTAGCGGAGAGATACAATCATGCAACGGGGGAGCTACGCCAGGCTCATAGAACGATGGCAGAGGCATTTCCCAACCAAGAACATTTTCTGCTGAATGACGATTCGCCGTGTAGTTCTTCAGGTGAGCCACACACGCCTGAAATGCCACAGCCGATTCGTACATTCTTAGATCAAGTTGAAGGACAGAAAGACGCGTTAGGTCTAAGCAGAAAGGGTCTAAAACAGCTGAATGAGATCTTTGGGTTTTCTCCGGCTGAAAAACAGGCGAATGCGAAGGTCCAGAACAATTCTGAGTCTGACTCTGAGCATGCAGGGAGAGCAGAAATTGAACTTGAAGCCTTACGGAAAACGCTAGCAGATGTACAGCTTGACAAAGATTCTATCCTTCTTCAGTATCAGAAGAGTTTGGAAAGTTTATCCGAATTGGAAAAAGAGCTTAATAAGGCGCGAAATGTATCTGAAGGCCTTGATGAACAAGCAATCAAAGCAGAAATTGAAATCGGAATATGGAAGGAAGCCCTAGCAGAGGTAAAGTCCAAGAAGGATACTGGTCTAGTTCAATATGACCGATGTCTGGAAAGGATAGCTAGCCTGGAGGCTATGTTATCTTCGGCTCAGCTGGAAGCTAAGGGGCATGACGAGAGAGCCGCTAAAGCAGAAACCGAAGCTAAAAGTCTAAAGGAAGAACTTGCCAGGCTGGAAGCTGAGAAGGATGCTGGCCGTCTTCAGTATGAAAAATCTCTTGAAAAGATATCGGTTTTGGAGTCTAAAATTAATCTTGCCGAGGAGAATTCAAGGATGCTAACTGAGAAAATTGAAAGAGCAGAGGTCGAAGTTAAAGCATTGAAGGAAAAGGTTACCGAACTGAATGAAGAGAAAGAAGCTGTAGCTCTCATGTACAAGCAATGCTTGGAGAAATTATCTTCAATGGAGAGTGAAATTTTGCACGCTCATGAAACTTCTGAACGGCTGAATAGAGAAATTAAGCTAGGCGCTGAAAAACTCAAAACTGCGGAAAAAAACTGTGACACGTTGGAGAAATCAAATCGATCTCTTCAGCTAGAGGCTGACAATCTAGTGCAGAAGATTTCTATAAAAGATCGAGAGCTTCTAGAGAAGCATAATGAGTTTGAGAGGATGCAGACTCTGATGCAGGAAGAGCATTCTCGTTTTCTTCAAATTGAGTCTACTCTTCATTCTCTGCAAAAATCGTACTCTCAGTCACAAGATGAGCAAAGATCTCTAGCCTTGGAGCTTAAACACGGGCTTCAGCTGTTGGAGGACTTGGAACATTCGAAAAAAGGTTTTAAAGAAGAAATGCAACATATTGTGGAAGAAAACAAGACTTTGCATGTGCTTAACTTGGCAGCCACTGGAACTGTAAAAGATCAGCAAATGGAAATTTCGAAGTTGAAAGAGATCAAAGAGAATCTGGAACGGGAGTTTGTTGTGAAAGTTGAAGAAAGCAATTATCTTCTACATGAATCTCGTCAAATAAAGGACGAGATCCATGGCTTGAATAATAGATACCGGGCTATACTGGAAGATCTAGAGTCCGTAGGTTTGAATCCTAAATGTTTTGCAGCATCGGTGATGGATTTACAAAAGGAGAACTTGAAACTAAAGGAGGTATGCAAAGTCGAACAAGATGAGAAAGAAGCTCTTCGTGAAAAGTCTAAGGATATGGATAAAGTTTTGAATGAAAAAGCTGTTGTGCAATGTTCCCTATCAAGTTTGAATGATGAGGTAAATGGACTAAGAGATACCGTGAAGAAATTTCAAGAGTCGTGCCATGTTCTGAAGGAAGAAAAATCCGGTCTTGTTGGTGAGAAATCGGCTTTACTGTCACAGTTGCAAATTATCACTGAAAGTATGCAGAAGTTAATGGAGAAGAATGCCTTGCTGGAAAGTTCCCTCTCTGATTCAAAGATCGAGCTTGAAGGTTTAAGGGCTAAATCGAGTAGCTTGGAAGAATTCTGCAATCTGCTGAATAACGAGAAGTCTAATCTTGTTAAGGAAAGAACCGTTCTGGTATCTCAATTGGAGAGCGTTGAAGAGAAATTAAGTAACCTTGAAAAACGGTTTACTAAACTCGAGGAAAAATATTCTTATATGGAGAAAGACAAAGAAAGCAAAGCTAATCAAGTAGAAGAACTTCATGCTTTGCTTTCAGCACAAAAAGCCAAGCATGCTAATCATAAACATTCGAGTGAATCCCGATTGGCTAATTTGGAGAATCTCGTTCTTGGGCTACAAGAAGAGCGACAGATGGGGAAGGTAGAATTTGAACAAGAGCTTGATAAAGCCGTAAATGCTCAAGTTGAGATGTTTATTTTGCAAAAATGTATGGAAGATTTGGAGCAGAAGAATATGGGCCTATTATTTGAATGTCAAAAACATGTTGAGGCGTCGAAGTTTTCTGAGAAAGTTATTTCCGAGTTGGAGGGTGAAAACCTTATGCAACAGATGGAGGTAGAGTTCTTGCTCGAAGAAATTAGAAAATTCAAAATCGGGATTCATCAAGTGTTCGGGGCTCTTCAGGTTGATCCAGATAGGAGACACAACAAAGGTTTCAAACAAGAGGAAATTTCCGTATCACATATTTTGAACAATATCGAAGGCTTGAAAGGTTCTCTTGTGAAAACTCAGGAAGAGAAGCTGCAACTATTTGTAGAGAATTCTGTCCTCGTGACGGTACTTTCGCAGCAAGAATCTGAGGGAAAAGAACTGGATTCTAGGAAAATGACCCTCGAGCAGGAGCTTGAGAACACGAGTGAGTGGAATGTGATGTTGCAGGAAGTTAAGCTTGAGCTACTGGAGATGAACGAGCAACTGAGGTCTGAACTAACCGAGGGAGAAGAAAGGGAAAACGCGTTGAAATCTGAAATGGAAGCTCTTTGTATGAAATTGGTAGATTTGCAGAAAACAAATCTTATGTTTCAGGATGAAAATCGTAAGGTGCTTGAGGAGAAAAATTCGCTAATTAAGAGTGTTTCCGAACTCAAAGATGCCAAGTCTGCTGTTGAGGATGAGAACAGTGCGATGTTCGTTGAGGCACTGAATCTAAAAAGCCTTAGTTTGGTTTACGAGAGCTTTTTCATTGAAAAGGTCTTAGAACAAAAAGAACTTTCCGAACATCTGAGCGATCTCCACAGCATGAACAACAACCTGAAACAGGAGCTTGGTCTGTTAAGAGAACAGTTTGAGTCGAAAGAATGGGAGAACGTTTATCTGAAAGAGATTCTTGAGGCTATGGACAAAGATCTGCGAGAAGCCAAAAATGCAAATGACGATTTAAGTCATCAAGTTCAAAGTTCAGAGAATCTTCTTATGAAGAAGAAAACAGAGCTGTTAGAAAAAGAGGAAAAGCTAAAGGCTGTGGAAATGTTGAACGCGGAGTTTTGCAGAAATGTTGAGAATCTGAAAACGGAGCAACAAGAATCAAGACTGATCAATGAAAATCTTGGAAAGCAGATTCTTGAACTATTGGAAGGTTGCATGAATCACAAAAAAGAAATCGAACTCCTCAACGAAGCAAATAGAAGTGTCCTGTCAGAGATGAGATTATTACACCGAGAAGTGGAACAACAGAAGGCTAGAGAAAAAACATTGAGTTCGGAGCTGATGGATAAAACAAACGAATTTCAACTCTGGGAGGCGGAGGCTGCTACGTTCTACTTCGATCTTCAGATTTCATCCATTAGTGAAGCATTGTTGGAAAATAAGGTGAATGAGCTTACCGGGGTGTGCACGAGGCTTCAAGACGAGAGTGCTGAAAAGAGCTTGGAGATTGAAAAAATGACAGAAAGAGTCGGTTTTCTGGAAAGTGAAGTTGGAGGACTGAAGGGTCATTTGTCTACTTATGCTCCGGTCATTCGTTCTTTGGAAGAGGATTTTGCTTCTTTAGAACATACTGTTTTTCTAACAAATAAAGTGTCTGTTGTATGCAAACAAGAACAAAAGGTAGAATTCTGTTTTGTACTTTGGTTTTCTTCTTCCTCTTTTCTTGTTGAACGGGCATATGAAGATTGTGTATTCTACTTATTCTTGTCTGTCATGTATGTTTCCAGGTTGCTGTAGAAAACATCGATCCCGGTGTAACAGAAAACAAGATACCGGACGGCGTTTCAGATTTGGTAGGCTTGAAGGCAAGGATTAGAGCAGTTGAAAGGCGTGTCAAGGAAGAAAATCTAACGTCTAAAGCCAATTCAGTAAAAGACTACAGAAAAGTAGAGAAGCTACTCAAGGACGAGAACATGTTCGATCTCAACACTTGGAGAACAAAGTCCGAAAATGGATCGCTGATGAAAGATATTCCTCTCGATCAAATATCAGACAATCCAGCTTCTAAGAATCGCAGGAGAAAGAATAATAGCGGAACTGATGATGGGATGCTTGAATTATGGGAAACTGCTGAACATGATTGCTTTAACGACGGTTCAATGGTTCGTGAAGCGATGAAAAGGAATTCTGATCCAACCGAGGACATTATTACATGCCATGAGTCGGACAATAACTCGGGAAAATGTCTGAACACCTCTTCAGAATTGGAGGCAGAAAAGGAATTGGTTGTTGACAAGCTTCACATGATGAAAAGTATAAAAGACAGAACTCAAGATGGCAAAAGGAGAAAGCTACTGGAGAGGCTTGCATCGGATAAGCAGAAACTAAACGTTCTTAAGATGACCGTGCAAGATTTCCGAACAAAAATGGAGACAAAGAAGAGAGGCAGCAAGAAGGGAGACGACACTGAATACGAGACAGTTAAAAGACAAATCGAAGAACTTGATGGAGCTGTCGTGAAATTAGCAGATACTAATGATCAACTTACAAAAGAGATCAAAGAGAGTGTTCCATCTTCTAGCAGGGAGACTTCGGTGGAGTTGGAAAAGTCTAGACAAAACCATAGGAAAAGAGTGATGGAGCAGGCGCGAAAAGGTTCTGAAGAGATAGGACGTTTGCAGTTGGAGGTTCAGAACATGCACTGTGTTTTGCTGAAATTGAGCGATGAGAAGAAAAACACAGGGAAGAAGAACAAATTCTCAGGAAAAACAGTGGTGTTTCTGAGGGACTTTATTCACATTGGAAAGAAGAGTAGTAGCAAAAAGCACAACAAAGGGTGTTTCTGTGGATCCACAAAGACTTCAACTAATGAAGACTAAGTAAATATAGTCTCACTGTTGTAAAGTGCTTTTTTTACTTGGAGATTTTCTGTTATAATCTAGCTATCAATTCTTAATTTTAGCTTAAGCTTAAGGTTAGTGCTTAAATGATCATGGCAACTTATTTCAGATCTCTTATGTTTTTAGCTTTCAGAAAAACTTGTACCAAGTGACTTTTAGCTTTCACTCTTATCATAGGAAATAAATCAATTTCACTCTTTTTCTGCAATATTGAGTGAAACTTTGGAGTATTTATAAGTAGTTTTTGACTTTTGCAAATTGGAAAGTATAACTATGAAATTATTAAAAAAAATAAAATTTAATATGGCCCCAAAAATTTTCATGATTTTCCTCACTTCACCTATTCTTGTAGTTTTATGGGCATTTTCAAAAATTAATAATCTTCCCTGCAACATATATGGAAGAAATTGCAAGTTTTTCTAAATCTGATGCTAAAGAAGAGTTTGTTGATGTTGATTTAACACAAATCTCTCTTAGACCCATTGTTCTTTCTGATCTTGATGATCTTATGTTGTGGACTAGTGATGAAAAAGTTGCCAAGTATTGCACTTGGGAGCCTTATACCAACAAAGAATATGGCATCAACTTCATCCAAAACATAGCAAGCAAATCTCTATGGTTCAGAGCAATTTGCCTTCAAGATCGCGCAATCGGGTGTATCGATTTCAGGTCATGTTCGGGTAGATGCTTGGAGAAATCTGCTGAACTTGGTTATGCTCTGAGTTCTAAGTATTGGGGCAAAGGAATTGCAACACTGGTTGTGAAACAAGTGATTGAAGTGGCATTCAAGGAGTTTTCATACTTGGAGAGGCTTGAATCTCGCGTTGATGTCGAAAATGTAGCTTCTCAAAGGGTGTTGGAAAAAGCTGGTTTTCAGAGGGAGGGAATTCTTAGAAAATATCTCTTCATTAAGGGAAAATGTAGAGATGTGGTTATGTTTAGTGTTTTATCAAATGATTTTCAAGTTTGATTTGTTTTAGAACATGTTTTCGAAGATGTCAACTATTGTGTTGCGATATCAAAAATGTATAAATAAGTTTAACCGATAATACAAATTTTCACAGCATTCATAACAAGCATAAGAATTCAATATCTGTATTTTTTTTCAGGGCACTCAACATAATCCAGACATGTTATTGAGTCAAAAAAAGTTGTAAACATAAGTAACAGGAAACCCAAATCAAACAAAACAGTAAATCAAGCTCCAACAGTTTCTGTAGGTTCCTTTGCCACTGTTTCTTCAGCAGGTCTGTCTACCTTTGTGCAATGTCATCAGAGTAATCTCCATGAACCTGCAAGGACAAAAAAGAAGAGCTGCAGCGACATATCATACCCAGAAATTTGTCAAGAGATTCTTCCCTTGAGCATCCTCTGCTCTTAACCTAATCTTCCTAAAGGGTGTTCTTCATGCCCTTGGAGATCAGCTAAAGAAACCTCAAACACTCTATGTTTGAGTCCATCTGAAGCAATTTGTCATTATAAAACAATTACTTTATAATCATGTATGCGAAATTCCAATGGAGCAACTATCAACAACCCATTAAAGAGCAAAGAACAAGACATCCTTAAGATTCCATAAAACCAAGCAGCGTTAGTCTGATATCCATAAAAAACATCTAAACATAACCCTTTGCACTCTCACGCTTGTACTGCACGACATTCTGTAACTCGACAATCATGTTCTCCACGAGGGATAATTGGAGACTGCCTTTATGCCTGTTCTATCTATCTCCACAACATGCCTACAGACCGTCGTTGTTAGACGACGATAATTTATTTAGAGAGGGTGAATAGATCCACAAAGTAAAATTACTCTTTTAAAAAATGTTTTGAAAAACTATGGCAAGCGGAAGATTTAGCATAGATCAAACAAGTCGTCTAAACCAAACTGGTTATTGGAAACTCGGATATGCGTAATCTACTTAATGGAATATACGATAATGATAAGAACTTAATACAAAAAATTATCAAACAACCGTTTTAATATGATCACAATAGTTAACCTATTTCCAATGAAATTATTGATAGAAATTAATTTGAGCAAATTATCGAACACTTTTTGTGCTATCGAGTTTTCAGATTTTCCTTTTGACTTTGTTGGTATGAAATACCACTTACAATCTAATTGATTGTAATGTAATCAATAACACAATGTTTAATCAATCAAAGGATTTGTCTATACGTATCGTTTTCACAATCAATGAATTTAACAATTTGTTTATAGAAAGTAAATGAGAGAGAGAGGACACAAGGATTTTGATCTTACCGGTGACCAGAACCTATAATGGGCCGATATTTGTGTATGTAAGGCTGGAATCAAAGAGAAGAGGGGTGTACCTACAAAGCACTCCAATGTTCAAGTAAGTAAGAGTGCAAAGAGATACAAGAGAGAATATAGGACTTTAGAAGTGAATATTGAATATCTGACCCTCACGAGTGTGAGAGTTTATATAATCCCCCGACGCTTGGCCATTAGTCCCTATTTTTTGGTATGAAAATTAGTCCTCCAAAAATAGGTAATTGTCAAGAGCGGGCAACTCGTGCTCAATATCCTGGGGGAGATGTTTGAAACTAGCCGTTAGGGCGGACTGAGATGCTCGAAACTAGTCGTTGCCACGAGTAAGGATGCAGTTGCAGGCATGCATGATCTTGTTGTTCTGGAAGGTTGCTTTGTCCGTGGTGGGCATAGTGAATACTAACAGTTGACACGGGCAGAGGTACGACTAAGGGTAGCGGTGGTCACATTGGCCCTAGGGGTCAACCGAACACGCGTCCCCTGTCGAGGGGCGGAGGGGAAAAGTTTCTCCCCTTTTCCCTGACTGATTGGACCAAAGTTATTGGACCATCCTGGACATAGAAGTAGAGTGGGACATGCTTAGTCATTGGGACAGGCCAGAACAGGAACCCCCAAGTCATTTCTCCTAAGCATAGGAGTAATGGCTTAGAGTCAACCTGTGTGTCGAGGATGGAGCTTGTTGTATGTGATGGGGACGTTTCGCTTGACGCTCGTATGAGGGGCTCGAAAATCCTCCACTGTGTTCGATGCGCGGGGAGCCGAACAGGCGATTGAATTTTGAAGAGCTGACGTTTCCCGCTTGCTTCGAGCCAAATGTTACATTTAATGTACAATGATGGCTATGGGCTAGGATTTAATGATGACTCCTAGCCTCCCCTAAGACAGCGCGTGCACGGACACATGTTTTGGGGCAATTTAATAAATAATAAAGAAAGGAGTTTATTTGCATTTTTTTGCTACTTTCTTGCTCTCGCCTGCCCTCAGTGCTCCAGTATTCGTCGCTATCGTCTACCGTCGTATCAGAATAGTCCGACCATCGTTCCAGTTTCCCCGACCACGTTATCTCTCTATTTCCCTTCATCTTATGCTTTGTTTTTTCTTAGAGTGCATGTGGATAGGGTGAATTGGTTAGAGTGAGTGTTGCTCCGACGACTATTAGTGTTTGAAGGTGGTTTTGCCACTTCCAAACTCCACTGCTGACGAGAGTGTGCGGTTGAGTTAGGAGTTTACGTGTTACCAGTCGATCTGGCACCGTAGTCAGGGAGACAGATGAGTTTGTTTCCGGTGGGACTCGTGAGTTTTCCGGTGGATTCATGTTTTTCCCGATGACTGCTAGTTGTTTCCTAGGCTCGCATGCATTTTCAGATGAATATATGAACTTTTCGATGAATCTTCAAATGACATTTTGGGTAATATGTCGGGGAGACCGATGAATCTTCGAGTTGAATTCTGGGTAATGCGTTGGGGAGACCTTCCTCGTGAGGTTTTAAGGGTTTGCTTATTGGGGAGGCTCTAAACTCGTCGAGGAGGATCTCCTTGCATCTTCGCTTGTTGTTTGAGTAAGAGCTTTAGTCGAGGACATCATTCTCGTGCTTTGGCGCGCCCTTTCACTTGATTAGCAGTGGAGGGATGAATTTGATTTGATCGTTGAATTAACTTTTGTCCTCTTCTTTTCAGGTAAAAACGGCTAACACAACTAAGAACGAGAATATGGTCGAGCAAAACAAGGACTCTAAGGAATAGTGGATAGCTCTGGAGCCTTGGGAGATAGCCTTACTCTCCGCTTTCTTCCCCGAGGAGGCATTCACCACCATGGGAGAGGAGATAGATTCATCAGACATCGAGGAGGATCGGAAAGTTATTTTCCCCAAAAAAGATGAGTGTATTTTCTCACCTTTTGAGACTGGCAGATTCCCGATGTATGAGTTCGTCTTTAAAGAGATAGGACTTCGGTTTCCTTTTAAGGATATCCTGGTGGTAGTCTTTGCCCATTTGGATTTGGCGCCCTCGCAGCTTTATCCCAACTTGATAGCCTTTACTCGGGCATTCGAGATCATCTATGATTACCTCAAGATCGGGGCCACAATTCCCCTCTTCTTTGCTTTCTTTCACCTCTAGTGACAATGCTCGGATGGTCTGTTTGGTTGGGTTTCTTTGAAGCAGACAAATAAGCTTTTTAAGATGTACTCAGAGTCTATCTGCTGGTTCAAGGACATGTATTATATAGTTCTTCCTGTGTCAGAGAGGGCTATTGCTTCTTCGTTCAGTTGGGAGGTCATGGCAGATGAAGATGGGAATCCCCTCCTTAACGAGGACGGCATGAGGAGGAGGCATCAGATTCAGAGCCGAGATCACTTTGACCAAAACACCAAGCAGTACCTTGTTCGGCCGAACCAATTGGACGGGGAGGATCGAGCTAGCTATAACAAGCTTGTGACCTTTGTTGAGAGTTTTATCTCTGCCTAGTGTGTGACCAAGGTCGGGGACCTTATCCTTGACGACCTTGGTGAGCCCGTGATGGAGGCCCGACTTATTAATACCAAGGAGCTCCTTGATTATGGCACTCTCAAGGAGGCCTTGGGAATTTTAGGTAGTCAATCTCTCTTATTAACCTGTATGTTTTGTTATTTCTGATTGTTAATTCATGTATGTGATGTTGCAGGTAAGATGTCTTCTGCTCAGG